GTGTACATTGCACAACAGTAGGGTATTTCGGAAAAAAATCAAGACTGGAAGTCAGCCACAGAACGTGAGAAACAGCTTTTAAAATACAATAAATTCTTAATGAAAAATTGGCCAGGAATTTTTGCAGGTTTGTTGTGGTCTTTTCTCGAAATGAAGGTCTAATTTGTGGCGCACCAGGGTCAATACCGGTCAGGGGAATCAAGGAAGTCATGCAAAGTCAGGGAAATACAAAAGGACTCTGAAAGTCAGGGAGAATCACAATCTGGTCGGGAAAAACTCGAAAAGTAGGCATGAAGTATGAATTATACGCCGCACCACTGCAAATCCAAAGGCAATACTTTTTGTACCTTTTATGGCGATACAATTGAGTATCACCACGATTTGGCATTAAACGTTGAACAAATCAAGGGAACAAGTCCTAAGTTTAATGCCGCGGTTTTGGCGATACCCAAAAGTATCGCTAAATTCTGGCGATACTTCTGTGTATCGCCGATCTGAGGGCAATACATTTCCGTTTGTTGGCGATACTCAATTGTATCACCCAAAAATGTACTTAAGTATAGCTTTTGCATTTGCAGTGTACGGGTCACTCGTGTAAATATTGTCAGAATGTCAGAAACCTGTCTGAAAACCTGATCAAAATTCGTGCACCTCTGAAAGCTGAAAACATCTCCGGACAGTCTGTAGAACTCAAACCGTCAATATCAGAGTAAGTTTTCAGAATTTCAGCTTTCAGAGGTGCGCGAATTTTGATCAGGATTTCAGACACGTTTCTGACATTCTGACAAAATTTACACGAGTGGTGGTAACCTCATGCGTTTCGGTCTGGGAATCAACATTTTAATAATATCGTACACTGTAAAAAATGTGTTCGTAAATTTACAAACAAATTAGGGGTAATTTCGTTGCACGAATTATTTGTAAATATACAACGTTTTTATGTTTTTTATCAATTTATGAATTTTTCTTCACGCAGTAGTTTGTAAAATCACAAACATTTTACAAGTTCCAATTTACATGGATCACTTTTGTTCAACATTGTCACGCTGATTAAATGAAGATAAACTTGTATCAGTGCATTTTTTTTGTTCTATGAAACATCTTCTAGTTCTATGAGACATCTTGTAAAATGACGAAGGCATCACCCTGTTTCGTAATTTTACGAGCGATTTGTGCAACGAAATTACCCATGGATTTGTTGTAATTTTAGGAAACATTTCATATCTCTGTGACCTCACTGTAGTATTATCGTCACTTTTGAGATGTATTTTGTTCGTACCATTTCATAAAGCGATGTTCACAAACAAATTTCACAAAATTAAGAAGATTTCTGTGATGAATAATCCATAAATCGGCCTTTACAAATAAATTTCATAAAATAACGAAATGTTATTGTTACTTTACAAGGAATTTGTAAAATAAAATTTCGTAAATTCACAATAATTTTTTACAGTGTATGTTCTACCCATTTAAACCTCCTAAATCGTTACTTACCACATATTCAACTTCCGGAGTGCGAATAAAACTTGAAAAAAAATCGGAGAAAATCAGGCATTTTCACTGGATATTATGGAAAAGTCAGAGAAAACGAAATAGGGAAACCGGTGTGAACCCTGCGCACGAAGTACTCTGCAAACTCAACTGCGTACTCAGTACACTCCATTCGTCGTGTGCCGAGGGGTGAATCACTAGTGTACTCATGTGTACAAATTTGCCCGTACTCCCCGAGTAAAAATAGGAGGCTGCAGAAAGGCTGACGCACGGCTGACGCATGGCTGTATGGACCGTTTTTTGGCTGTATGCATGGCTGCCGAGGCTGCGTTGCAGCCATGTCGCAGCCATAGCGACGTCCTGGACTTGCAGCCATCCACGCTGCAGTGGCTGGTCTGGCTGTTTCACGGAGCGCTTTGGCTGTGAAACGCTTCAGAAGCTGCGCACAGAAGCCTTTTGGCTGCCCTAAGCAGCCTATAAACGCTGCCACGCACAGCCAACTTAGCTGCAATGGCTGTAGGCTGCGCGTCGCAGCGTGTTGGCTGCTGGCGCCAGCCGGGCCGTGGCTAGACGTTACAGCCATGTAGGCTGCCACGGCTGTAGGCTGCGCGTAGCAGCGTGTTGGCTGCTGGCGCCAGCCGGGCCGCGGCTGGATTTTACAGCCACGCGGGCTGCAATGGCTGTAGGCTGCGCACTGCGCGTCGCAGCGTGCTGGCTGCTAGCGGCAGCCTGGCCGCGGCTGCACTTTACAGCCACGCAGGCTGCAATGGCTGTAGGCTGCGCGTCGCAGCGTGTTGGCTGCCGGATGTAGCCGGGCTACGGCAGGACTAAACAGCCATGTGGGCTGCAGTGGCTGTAGGCTACGGATTGCAGCATGGTGGATGCTGGCGGTATTCAGGCAACGGTCGTATTCCTTGATTAAAGGGCTATAAAAAATAGAAAAAAATAGACCACTGTTAAAAAAAATATGAAAATTCAGACTGATTTCGTCTTACTTGGTGGTCTGAATCGTAAATTCATAAAATGGTACGAATATTAAGACCAACTGTCTGAAAAGTTTGACCTGTTGTCTGAAATTTGAATTTAGACTAGCAAGTCTGAATATTTAGAGCGATGGCTATCAAGTTTTGTACATTGTCGTCCGAAAACTAAATTCATACTTGTGAAATCGAAAAACGAGTGAAAAAACCCCGTCCCCTTTGTACATTTTTCGATTTTCTCAGAACTTTTGTCAATACTACTGTTGGATTTCAAATAATATTTACGTTTAGTGTCGTAAAAGCATAGAGAATGTTTCAGAGCTCCGAAATGGACACTTATTGCTCTATCCGCTAGGTGGCGCTAGTGTCGCATGGATGATCTCTTGGAGCTAGAATTGCCACTTGAAGGCGAAATTGCGAATATTTTGTTACAAACTTATTCCAAGTGATTGTCTGAAAGGGCATGAGCGCACCAAAGCAAGATTCAGGTTAATAAGTGCAGTATAAGCTAAATAACAAAGAATACAATTTCACTCTCGCGCATGGCCACGGGTCGGCGCGTGGTTGGGCTAAGGCCGCTCTCCCTCGCATTTCAGCAGTCACCTCTAGCCTCTTCACTTCCTTTGCAAGTAGGAGTCTACTGCCGTGTACCTAATTTTTGAGTCAAGACGATCCGCTGAGCGTCTACGATAAACCGATGGCAAAAGTTCGCCGATTTGTGTTCTACTCTACAGAGTGGCATTTTTTAGTGCGACTGTTCAATGTCTTCGTACAACTTAGTCTGATAAAATAGACCGACTGGTATCATTTTTCATACAACATGTTGATCTGAAAATTCAGACTAACGTCGTCTGAAACTTTCAGACCGCGAAGTATGAAAGTTTTGGTATGAAAATTCAGACTGAATGTAAGTAAATCGACTTCTTACAAAAAATTATGAATTTTCAGTAAATTTTTTTAACAGTGACTGGATGCGTGGTATGCTGATATTTGAGTTGAATACGTTAACATACATAAGCCATGCAAGTTTCGTAAAAATCGGGAAACTTTTTTTTGTTATCTTTGATATCTCGGGAACGGTAAGTCCTACATGAAACTACTTGGCAGATTTGGATCCGGAACGGTGTTCGGACCCTAGAAAATCTTCAAAGGGCTCAACAGAACTTCAAAGGGCGTAACAGGGACCCTCAAAGGTCCTGATGGGGACCTTCATGAACTAAGGAGTGAAGCCTAGTAGCGATATGGATGCTGCCGATGGCATCCACGAGGCTGCAGGATGCGGCCGAGATGTGGCTCTGACCCGCAGCTTCATAGCTGCCGGGGGCAGCGTGGGCCGGGCGAAAGAAGGCTGCCTGGAGCATCCTGAAGGCTGCGGGGTGCAGCCTACAGCAGCGCCTCACAGCCTCCAGGCTTCCGGGGACAGCGTGGCCCGGGCGAAGGAAGGCTGCCTGGGGCATCCTGAAGGCTGCGGGGTGCAGTCTAGAGCAGTGCCTCGCAGCCTCGTGGCTGCTGGGGGCAGCGTGGCTCGCGAAATAAGGCTGTCTGGCGCATCCTGAAGGCTACGGGGTGCAGCCTAGAGCAGCGGGGGCAGCGCTGACTGGGCTCCAAAGGGACACTTCAGTGGCTGGCAGGTGCAGCCAGAGACGCTGCACCGGCTGCGGATGGCTGTATTTTGGCTGACGTATGTCCGAATACAGCCAATGTCTGCAGCCATCCGAGTTCCATCCGCGCGTTGTAAGCAACCTGGAGGGAGCCAGCCTGCAGCCAATCTGCAGCCTATAATTTTCTCTCGGGATCATTCTCTAGTTTTTCGACCGATTTAACGTCGAGTGCCGTTAAAAACGTTAAATAAAGCCTTAAAACGTTTAAAATTGTGAAATTTATGAGTAGAGCAAGGTGTACTCACCCGCACCCATGTACTCATGTGTACACCAGAACGCTGAGTGATTCAACCCTCGTCGTGTCCTCACCAGTACACTCTACCGAGAGTGTGCTTAGCTGAGTACTCTGCAACGAGAACTTAGAACTATATGCAGCTGAGTACACGTTCGTGGGAGTGTATTCATGAGCACTCTCTTCAAGAGAGTGTACTGAGTACACTGTTTAGTTTGTAGAGTATCCACCAAATGGAGGTAACAGTTGACGAAAATATGAAGCTATTTGGATGAGGTCGGGACGTAAATGTAGGAAAATATATCCGCTGGTCAAGCCATTGAAAGGACAAGAATGTGTGCGTTGAGCAGGCTTCGCTTGGTGCCGAGCTTGGTGCTGTGCCACCTCCTTGATCGTGGAATCAACTTCAGGCAGTCCCACAATGTTCACCCTGGAATAGGCCTCTATCGGATAAGTGGTGGGCAACTAAAATTCTTCATGTATTTCATTCATACATGCAGGACGCGAGCAGGTATGTCTCGTTGCCGACGACAAGTTTATTGATTTCGACATCATCTTGGAACTCATAAAACCAGAACGTCGGCACGCATTCTTAGAAACGCCACTGTTATCGAACAGGAAAATCATCAGTGACAAACCAGCCAACATGAAAAAGAAGCGGCCGCTGCACGACGCAGAAGACAGGTTTTTGTCCTTTTAAATTGAGGAGCGACGTGACCCTCAGCACAGTCCCAAGCTCACAGCCGCCAGACCTTCCACCTTGTCAATCATGAACACGTGCATTCTCCTCGTGGTGGCCGTTGCCGCCTGCCTTGTGGTAAGTCCGCTTCGAATTGTGCTCACGCCATGTGGGTGGGGGTCGATTTCATCGAAGGAGGCAAATTTTTGGGGCTGCGAATGAAACGCACACGGTAAAAACGGTTCTTGGTTTTCCCAGGGACCCCCTGGAAATCACGTATGTCTTCCCCATAGGGCTCCTGGGAAAACCAGGTTCCGTTTATACCGCGTTGACGATTTGATTACACTTCAATTGGCCTGTAGATGTGAGCCGGTTGGCTTTTGAAGTCCAAACATGGCCAAATCCGTCCTCTGATCGGTTTATGCTAATTACTCAAATCCAAGATAAGTTTCTCTCCCACTCTTTTGGTCTGGTGATGGCAAGGGCTATTCAGGCCGGTTATTAGTAATCGAAGTTGTTCATTGACGATTTCATCTCTTATGGCTAAGATATTTTTTAACCATTGGTAAGCATGCTCATAAAATGTAAGACCAGGCCATTGCGGGCGTTCAAGTTAGAAGCTTTTCCCTTTTACTCGTGTTGAACAAAGGGTGTTATCATCAGAATGCATGCAGAATATTTTTCTTTAGGACCGTTTGAGCCGACCACACACCGCCCCCTACGTAAAATGCCACGGAGAATCCTGACATGCACTCAGAACTGACCCCAGCCTAGTCCGTCATATTTCAAATGCGGCTAAGTTGAATAGAAATTACTGTTGTGTGACCTTGTTTTTTTTTTCCTGACCCAGAAACTAAACTTGAACGATTTCCTTCAGATTCCATGTACATTACCCAAAGCAATCGGCTCGGCAAGGGGCTGATTTGGATTGTGGCCGCAACGTTGACACTGAAAATACTAAAACCAATGATGAAGCTTATGCCTTCCTTATTCTGCCACAGCCCTCAGCAATGTCCGCCTGCAACTCCAGGCAGCTTGACAACCTGGAAAAGCAGCTGACAATTTGTGGCAGGAATCTTCCGGTCCAGCAATACGGCGGCTCCTGGCAGTGGTCTCGCAGCGTCACAAGCACCATGAAAAAGGAGTCAACTTGCAATTTGAACAACGCCCCAGACCACTTCCAGGCCGCCTTGGAGAACAGCAACATCGGCAAGGCTAGCGTGGACCGCGCTGTGACCTGCATCAAAAACGCCATTCGCTACAGCGTTTGCTGTTGAGAGAATCGGAGACGGTTGCCGAGGAATAAAGTGGGACGTTTGCCGTCTTAAAAAAATGCATTCTCAATCACATAAGGTCTACACATTCGTTGAAGGGAGTAAGGTGGCGTAACAGAACTTCACTCAAGTCCATCTCCTGCGATTGATGCCCAGCACACTGTATACTGAGGCAATACTTTTAGTACCTCTTTTGGCGATACAATTGAGTATCGTCAAAAAACGGCCTTACGGAAAAGTATTGCCTTCAGAACGGCGATACACAAAAGCATTGCCAAAATTTGGCGATACTTTGGAGTACTGCCACGATTTTTGGCAATAAACGTTAAACAAATCAAGGGGACGAGTTCTTAGTTTAATGCCGTGGTTTTGGCGATACCTAAAAGTATCGCCACATTTGGGCGATATTTCTGTATATCGACGTTCTGAAGGCAATAATTTTCCGTAAGGCTGTTTAAGGGGGCACACCAGTGAAAATCTTCAAATTCTTGCCTTCTTTTTTATTTTATCTTATTTTTCTGCTATTCATCCCGAGTCGAATGCCGCAAACCCCAACCCAAAATTCCAATTACTTTGGCTTGTGCACATATTTAAAGTTGCTGAAAAGGTAATTAATTTTGCACATTTTAGACCAATTGTTAACGTTCAGGTATTTCACTTGAAGTTCAATTACAAAACCCTTAAACCACCCAAACGCAGTTGAAAAGAGGAAAATTTAGGCGCAAACTGAACTTAAATACGTCAAAAGGCGCATTTATAATCCGAAAAAACACGTCAAATCTATGTTTCTACTTAAAGGGCTTTTTCTCAAAACACCTTTTTTGTACCTTTGCGCCACTCTCACGGGCGCAAAATTGTGATAATTTAATGCGGTTTGCGGCAAAATGTTCGTTTAACTTGCATCTATGGTCTGAACCTCGGAAATGGCCATCCCACAAATAGGACGTGAGCTGCAGCCATGAAAGCGCAAAAAAAAGGGTTAAAAGATTTGTTTCTATTTTTGCCTTTTGAAAAAACAAATTCAAAATCATTCTTTTTGCATGCCCGTGGTTCAGAACATGTGTCCTGTTGAGAAATTTTCAAATCCCGTGCTCGAGGCTCAATCGAGAGAGGCGGAATCGTGGCAGGAGTGAGACGAGGTCGCAGAAAAATGAAGTGCACTGGCGCTCCGTCTTGCCATCGCCACCCCGCCCTCCCATACTGATTTTTCTTTTCTTTTATACAATTTTGAGCCAAGAATAAAATATCAATCGAATACATAGGTTACTTTTCTCAGAATGATCGTTTTTCGGAACCTCTGCATTTTCACTGGTGTGCCCCCTTAATGGCGATACTCAATCGTATCGCCAAATAATGTACTGAACACGGTGAAACCGATGTCTGGAAATTTCCAGATATTTTTTGCCATTTCCAGACATTGTCTGGAAATGTCTACTTTTTCCAGATAATATCTGGAAATGGTCAAATCCCAGATATATATCTGAAAAAAAACGGCATTTCCAGATAATGTCTGGAAACAAAGGCCTTGACGCCGAGGTCCACGGATTTGCGACCTGGGAGTCCCCGATGGTGTCCTCGAGGTCCCCAGGACACGAGGAGTCCAACGCCGAGGTCGCCGACGCTCTAGGACAAGCGGTTCCGGAGATACGAGGACGTACCACAAGGAGTCCGTCAAAGCAACTTTTTAGTTGGAGGCCAAAATCATCATCGGCCTGTGGCTGCGTTCCACTTGGGTGTCCGGGACTTTTGACTTCAGCATCGTGTTAAGGTAGTGCTAGACTACCAGGAACCCGTCAGGGGTCGCCGTCGGACCAACGGTGCGCCCAGGATGCCGACGAACGTGAGGCACGCCGGAGCGCCGTGGCGTGCCGGGTGCCTAAACGATCGTCGCCACCGCCGCTGCCGCCGGGTCCTCCGCACCAACCGCGAGGTTGGACGACGGAGGCCGACGCCGTTGGCACCGACGCCGCCGACGTGTACGTCGACGCCACCACATTGGCCTCTGGCATTGGCGGCCGTTCGAGCACACGGCGTCGGCCGTCGCCGTCAGGGCGCTCCGCGTCGGTGCCGACGGCGTCGTCTCTGGCCGTCCAAGTTCACGGTGGCGACGCAGGACACGCCGGCGGCTTCAGCCGTCAGGGCACGCGGCAGCGTCGTCGGCCCTGGCCGTGGTGGCGTTGACGGACACGTCGGTGGCGTCGGCCCCCGTCGTCCAAGCTGTTGGTCGCGACGTAGGACACGGCGGCGGCGGGGGCGACGCGATCGTTCAGGCACCTTGCCCGCCACGTTCGTCGGCACCCTCGGCGCACCGGTAGTCCGACGGCGACCCCTGACTGGTAGCCCAGGTGCACCCTAACCGAGGGGTTAGCCACTCGGTACTAGGGCGTACACACGATTCCGGATTCCCGCGATTCCTGAACAAATCTTGCATAAAAGGAGAGGTTTTCGAAGATTTTTCTTAGCTTTTGAGTGTTCAGTGTCTCTTACATATCCCTCTCCATTGAAACTTTTAAGATTTTCGATAAAATTTTGAGCAAGTTACGAACGATTCCCGGACTGAGTGTACACACGATTCCCGGAGTGGGTAACCCCTCGACCCTAACGCAGTGTTTAAGTCAAAAGTCCCGGACACCCAAGTGGAACGCAGCCAGAGGCCGAAGCGGCCGTTGGAGCACACTAACGGCCGACTAAGCACGTGGTGGCGTCGACGTACACGTCGGCGGCTTCGGTGCCAACGGCGTCGGCCTCCGTCGTCCAAGTTCGCGGTTGGTGCGGAGGACCCGGCGGCCGCGGCGGTGGCGACGATCGTTTAGGCACCCGGCACGCCACGGCGCTCCGGCGTGCCTCACGTTCGTCGGCATCCTGGGCGCACCGTTGGTCCGACGGCGACCCCTGACGGGTTCCTGGTAGTCTAGCACTACCTTAACACGATGCTGAAGTCAAAAGTCCCGGACACCCAAGTGGAACGCAGCCACAGGCCGATGATGATTTTGGCCTCCAACTAAAAAGTTGCTTTGATGGACTCCTTGTGGTACGTCCTCGTATCTCCGGAACCTCTTGTCCTAGAGCGTCGGTGACCTCGGCGTAGGACTCCCCGTGTCCTTGGGACCTCGAGGACACCATCGGGGACCACCTGGGTGGTGGCGACAACGGTGTTGAACCGTGTGGCGGCACTGCAGCCACGTTCGTCGGCATCCTGGGCGCACCGGTGGTCCGACGGCGACCTCTGACGGGTTCCTGGTAGTCTAGCACTACCTTAACACGATCCTGAAGTCGAAAGTCCCGGACACCCAAGTGGAACGCAGCCAGAGGCCGATGATGATTTTGGCCTCCAACTAAAAAGTTGCTTTGACGGACTCCTTGTGGTACGTCCTCGTATCTCCGGAACCGCTTGTCCTAGAGCGTCGGCGACCTCGGCGTTGGACTCCTCGTGTCCTGGGGACCTCGAGGACACCATCGGGGACTCCCAGGTCGCAAATCCGTGGACCTCGGCGTCAAGGCCTTTGTTTCCAGACATTATCTGGGAAATTTCCAGATATTATCTGGAAATTTTTTTTTCCAGATATATATCTGGGATTCGACCATTTCCAGATATTATCTGAAAAAATTAGACATTTTCAGACAATATCTGGAAAAAACGGCCATTTCCAGACAATGTCTGGAAATGGCAAAAAATATCTGGAAATTTCCAGACATTGGTTTCACCGTGAAGTATCGCCTTTGCAATGGTCAGTTCTCACAAGTGTAACAATGAACCTTATTCACATGCAATGACGTTTTATTACATTAGAAGGGCAGAGCGTTGATACGAGCTGGTGAACCTCATCCTAGAGTTTTTCATGCGTGAATATTGCTGGAGGAGGGACAAGGAGTCCTGGATGTTCTTCTGGAAGCCGCAGCTCTGCCCACAAGTTGATGGATGGAATGGACACAACTGATTGCTTGTGGGCAGGGCCTTACCAACACGAAACTTACAGTTCACTTGGCTGTAAGCAGGAGACATCAGCGATGCTGGCCTTCAAGGGCGTCGTCCCAGTCTAGTGGCTTGGTGTTGGGCTCCTCGAGCAGCGCATCTTCCTCGAGCAGGTTAGAGCACGTTTATTTAAGGGGGGACATCACTCCAAAATGATCAAAAATTGCAACTTTTTTTTAATAGTTTATATTATAGACCATTCCTTTCTGCGTCGAATGGTGAAAACCGCATTCCGGAATTCAAAAAATTGCAGTTTTAGGAGGATGTGGGCCGCAAACGTGCATAGGGGAAAAGACCAGTTTCCCCAACTTTGATCGCGTTTTTCTCGGAACATGAAATTGCAAACGGTTGCAGACCTCTAGGGCGCAGTTTTTGAGCTACAGCGGGGAGATTTAGCATGGAAGCTCCTACGACATGATGCTATGGTGGGTAGCAAAATAATTTGCATTGGTCTATTTTTATTATTTTTTTAACGTTTAAAATTGAACAATTTTGACCAAAAAAATTGCACAATATTTTTTGGTATGTAACAAACACAACTTAAAATGATTTTTTAAATGTGATTGAGGTACCTACCATAGCCAGACATCTCAGGAAGGCTGTCACCAAATTTCAATTTTCTAGGTCAAACCGTTTGGCGTCCAGCGCTGCAACCGTGCGAAATGGTCTAACCTAACACTCAAAAATGTGTTTTCAACGAAAGCGCTGTACTGCCCTGGCGGATTGACTAAGTGTTGTTTTATGCTTTATCTGTTAAAATATGAACAATTTTCCTCTTTCCGTTTGGTTTTTATGACGTTTTTACAAAAGCACTGTTTTTGGAGTGATGTCCCCCCTTAAGGGGGGAGACTCGTCTTTAACACAAAAATTTTAACAAATTTCAGGCTTAAATAAAAAATGTTTCCAATAGATTTGAAGGTTAGTGGGGTTTTCCAATAAAAAGCTGGTTCTTTAATCTTGATTTTGAAAAAAATAGTTTGTCTCTTTGTCTCTAGAATCTGTGATCTTTCTACTAAACAACTAAAATTGCGCCAAAAATTCACTGCGCGCATGATTTTTAG